CTGAAGCCCTAAGGCCAAACCTGGCTTGCCTCGTTGTTCCTGGGGACACCGCAAACCTGCAGGCCAAACACATGCCCGGAAAAAGTATTCGACTCCAAAAGCTTGCCAGGATTCCTGCGCTCACACCACCATGCTCCTTGTGGCAAAGAGCAGCTCCAGAGACCCTGGCAGGAAGAGTATGGACACATTGTAAAAAAAGCAATCAATGTTATGTCATAATGTATGTATGAATTGTTGACCAGAAAAATAATTTGCTATGTACGTTTTCATGTAAAACGAAATAAAATGTTCAAAACAAAGAGTTGCCTTGAAGAACTTGAGAAATAGAAGGTAGCCCTGGGCCTTACTTGTAATCCAAACTCTGCAGCCCTCTATAAGGCTGTAGTTTAATTTTCAGTGTTAATTTTTAAATCCAATCTAATTCCAAAGGTGAAGAGGCTACTTGCCAAAAAATCCTACCTATTCATGCCTAAAATTATTTTAGCATACACAAAGAAATCTTTATTCCCCAGCGACAGAAATACGGGAAAATGCTAATACTAGGAAGAATTTATTCAAAATATAACTATAAATTTTACACAGATTAATAAAATTCTAGAGCTAGACCTTAGAGATCAATTATAGCAACATCCTTATTTTAAGATGATCCCCAGGAAACCAGAAGTAGTTACTTTACGAAAGTATATGTAGATTGCACAATAATTTACTAAATCTCAAAACACTAGAAGCAGGCTATAAACTGGAAAGTGTAAAGAGAAAAATTCTAGGATAAATATAATGAAGATAAGTTTCGAATATTGATGAGCTGATTTAATTGTGTTCATGACTGAAAATTTCACGGAACAAGAAGAGTTTAAATATTGATGAAATGATAGACTTTCAAAGACTGTTCTATGGGGAAAATGAGCAGTTTCTTGTGTGAATGATATCAGAAACCCAGTGAAGGGTCAGCTAAGTGCCACCTGCAGTTGTATAGCAATGAGAGGGAGAGAAAGAGTCTTATTACGTATTTTGGGTGCTGTTTAAGATTGACATAAGATCATTATCTAAATATCTCTGGAGGAGGTCAGAAGATATGGACTCTCTCCTTATCTCACTGACCTCTGTGTGACTCTTGACTAAATAATCTACGTCTCAAGAATGTGTCTCAGGGGAGCTCTGGTGGCCTAGTGGCAGGAAGCTGCACTGCAATCCCAGAGGCGCACGGTTCGAGTCCACCAGATGCTCCGCCGAGGAAGTAGGGACAATCTCCTCCTGTACCAATCAGATCTGATTTGATGGTACACGCACACACACAAATAATAAAATAAATTTAAGAAAAAAGAATGTGTCTCATTGCTAGATATAAAAGAGCGGCTGTATCCATCCACCTCTAAATTGCATATGTATGACAGAAAAAATGCTGCCTGATTTTGTCATCATCACAATTATGATGGTGTTGTTGTTATGTGCCATCGAGTTGCTTGCAACTCTATGTACAAGAGCTCTAAACGCCGTTCTAGTCTGTGCCAACCTAGCCATCCCAAATGCACTTATTCCCATCTCTCCAGTCACAGAATCGATCCAGCTCATTGAAGGTCTTCCTCTCCTTTGCCGCCCCT